AGTCATCATTACTGAACCCATGAAAGCTGATATTAGGACCAAATGCGACATTATGAAGAGAAAAGAGGGTAGTGGAAGGACAGAGCCTTGAAGTCTAAAAAGCTATCAAAAAACCTATAAGGCCATCAGAAATTAGTGGAATTACCACCAATTAAGAAGTGCTTCTTTGTTCCCACTTGTACCTTTCCTTTGACAAAATATTTTTAGCCATACAGAGCCAGGCTATTCTGTAATCAAATCAAACAGCAAGTATTTATTAAACATTTAGTATGTGAGGTAGTGTAATAGTTAGTGCTGACCTCATATGGATGAAAACCAATAAAGGTGACTAAAAAGCTGTTAGATAGGAAAACCAAGAGAGCAGTATTGAAAAAATCCTAAGCAGAGCCAGTATCCAGGAGGAGAAACTGAGAAGGTGATCAAGATAATAGTAGCTAATAATACAATAGCCAGAAGGAAAGATATCAAGGTATATGTAAAAGGGTTGGCCTTAACAAGAAGGGGCCACTTTAAAAAAATTACATTTTTTCAATTAAAAATCCATTTTCTCTCTCACCCACTTCTCGTTGGGAGAGAGAAAAAAAATACACAAATTTGTATAATGAAACAAACAGTTCCTGCACTGCTATTTCCAAATATATTCATTCTGTTTTGTTGAATTCATCTCCTCTCTTTCAAAGGTGGATAACATGCTTCATTATTAGTCTTAGAATTCCGCTGGATCAGTTCAATGATCAGGGTTTTTGGGATTTTCAAATTTGTTTTTTTGGTTTTGTTGTCATATCAGTTGTTCTCCATGTTCTGTTAATTTCACTCTGCCTCAGTTCATACATAAAGTCTAGTGACATGTTTCACTGAAGCTGTTCCTTTTATTATTCCATTACATTCATACAACATAATTTGTTCATTCCTCATTTGATAGTCATCTCCTTAGTTTTTAATTTTGTTACTACAAAAAGAACTGCTATAAATATTATATGTTATGTTATATAAATATTATAAATGTTTTCATTGGCTCACCCTGAGGACTAGAACTCTCTCCCTCTTCATCTCTACCTCCTCAAGCTGTCCTGGCTTCCTTCAAGTCCTGCGTTCTGCAACAAGACTTTCTTCCTTAATCTTAATGCCTTCCATCTGAGATGATCTCCAACATAACCTTGTTTGTACATAAGTTATTTGCATGATAGTCCCCCTACACACCCACACCCACACACACACACCCACACCCACACCCACACCCGAACTGGAACTAGGCTGTGCATGTGTGTGTTTGTGTATTTTCATTTCTTTTTATACTCAGCATTTAGTGCAGTGTCTTGCACATAGTAGGCATTTAATAAGTGCTTGTAGACTTTTTTATATAACTATAAGCAGTTCCTATTATGTTCCTCTGAAAAGTTCTTGTTTATATCCTTTCACAGTTTATCAATTGGGGAATGGCTCTTATTCTTATAAATTTGAATAAGAGACAAGCCTAAATGTTCATCCCCAGGTTTTGAGCTTGAGTGACTTTGAGAATGGCAGTACCACTGACAAAAGGATGTTAGGGGTGATGGTGAGTTTTTTGCATCTGAGATGATGGGACATCGAAGTTGTGAGTTTTTGTTGGTAGTTGGAAAATATTGAATGGTGCTGTTGAATTTTATATTTATAACAGTTTAAGGACGTATGTTGCCAATTACCTGGTTACATGTTTTGCTTGGTTTAAATGGTTTTTTTTTTAAAGTTAACTAATATTTTGAACTTTGGGTATTTTCCTCCTGGAGGCCAACCAGTGGTCTGAGTCTTGGCTCTGCCACTTTTACTACCTGTGTGATTAATCTGGACTTCAGTTTCTTTGTGTTGTATTAGATGACTGTTTAACATCCTTATCAACTTTAATTTATAATTCTCCTTGGTCTTAGTATTTCAAAAAAGCAAGAGAACTCTAGCAAATGTCTCTTTGATGTTTGTAATTTTTCTAGAATGATTTTGGATGGGGGTGAAGTGCAAAGTGCAATTCTGTCACTGCTGCAGGAAACTTTGTTGTTATTGTGTGGTCCTCCGCAGGTGGTTAACTCTTAATTTGTTCATTCCAAAGGCATTTAATCCAGTGTCTAAGTAGTTTACCAAACCTTGTGCATATAGACATAGAGAGTTAAGACCTCATGGAGCTCACAATCTAAGAGGATAAGACATACACATAGCCAGTTATGATATGAAAATAATAGGTGATACTTTGAATATAACAGAAAAGTACAGAAGAGTGAAGTATGAGGTCTTACAGGGAAACATTGTTCTCAAGGAGGTAATGTTTGAAATTAAACTTTAAAGTTTGAGCAGAATCATAGGATTTAGACCTTGAAAAGTGACCTTAGAGAAAATGTAGTCTGATAATTTTATTTTAAAGATGTAGAAATTGAAGCTCAGAAAAGTTAAATAATTTGTTTACTGTCATTCAGTTAGGTAAAGCTAGAATTCAAACCACACTCTAAACTCCAAACCCATGGAGTTTTCTCATGAGGCCACAACCTTTCCTGAATTTGTCAAGCTATAAAATAGACAGTAAAGTAAGAGGGTCATTTCTTCTTTTGTGAGAGTTTTCCTGTGCTGTGGTTGGATAATATTGCCTTTCCCTTCTCTTCATCCCGTTCCCCTTCTGTATCATATTGGTAGCATGGCAGGTGGAAAGAAAAATGTTGTTTGTTACATTGTCTGTTTCCTGTCTGATCAGCCCCAGGTCTTGTTTTCATGTTCTTGGCTTACTGCTTACTACTACTCCCCTGGCACTGCGTCTCTCAAAACTTAGGGGTGGTTAGTTTGTATGCTTCTGCAAGGTTACATTGTGTCTGCTTTGTATTTGTTGCTTCCCTGTTAGAATGGAAGTGCTTTTGAGGACAAAGACTGTTTTGCTTTTGTCTCTTCCATGGCTTTTCTCTCTTCAGTGTTTGCTGCGTCTGATCACATCTTTCATTTAGGACTTCATCGGTGTAGGAAGCTCCTAGTGAGAAACTACCCATGCCAGTACAGATTGGTAATTGTTTTTCACCTTGCTCCTAGAGTTGCCTGTGACACTGGAACGTTAAAATGTGCCTTAACTAGGGCCACATAGGCTTTTAGTCAGAGGTGAGATTTAAATTCAGACTTTCTCATCTTTTAGGCCAGCTCCAGCCGTACTGGCTCACATAATAAAAGCTTAACAAATGCTTGTTAGTTTCTTTGATTACACCGTGGCCTGGCATTTTTGAAAGGTTTGGAAAGGGGTAAGGAATGAGAAAAAGGCAAGGGGGCTTTTAGCTAACTGTGTATGGTTAATGTTATTTTGCAAAAGAAAGTTGCAGAGGTGAACTAAAAACCCTTCTTGTTAAATAGTAATTTTGTAGTTATCTGAGGATGAGGTCGTTTTTATTCATAGGCTTTTTGTGGCTTTATAGACCAGTAGATTTCAGTTCTGCTGTCCAGCTTTCCTGGCCAAACAAACTCCACTTTAATCTCTCCAGGGGTTCTTCTTCTGAACACTCAGCTTGACTTCTTGCAATCTGTAGTTTCAGATAACACAAGAACCATGTTCCAATGTATTAAACTTTTAACATCCTCCAGATTCAATTAATCTTATCTTTACAACTCCCAATTACAGGCAGTAATTAAGTGAAAGCATCATTGTAGACTAGGGATATTACATTAATCATCAACAGCCTTTATAACCATAAATTAGTTCTTTCCCAATCCTTCAGCATTTTCCAGAAGAAACACAATGTTTCATTTCCCTATTTTAAGGGACATTAATCCCCAAAAGGAGCTTTGGATCAGGATTAATTTTTATCATCTTTATGTAAGTGATGAATGGCTACTTTCAAAGGATAAATGCTAAGTTTTTCCAAGACAAGTAGAATTGAATTGTTTGATAATTAAACAGTTGAAGGTCCTGCCTTTACTTTGGTCACAGGGCACCTTGGAGTCCACAAATGTATTCGTTTCTGTTCTCTGAGATCAAATACTACATGGTATTTTTTTTCTGTTTTGTTTTTAAAACTCCCAACTTAAATCGACTTAAATGGTTCTGAAGTCTGGAAGTACCTTCCGTGTAGTGGGCTTTTTCCTTCTTTTGCTTGCATCACTGAGTGAGGTTTCAAGAGGAAAAATTGTTTAATTGCTGACAAATGAAATTTGAGGTTCTCCCCTCACAATTACTTATTGTGAAATAGGAAAAATGGCCTCATTTTTCTAGGATGTCTGGTACAGGATTGTACCCTAGACTAAGGAACATATGAAAACTGGGAAACACATAATATGTTTAATTGCTCTTGCTTGGGTACAGGGAAACTTAATTTGTCCCTATCTAACTTTGGTCCCTAATATAAAGGCTTGAGATTAATGGCAAACAATTCTAGTTTTGTGTTAGTAAAGGGTACTTGCTATCTTTTCATTTGAAGATTGAATTTGTATATCAGCTAAGGTTTCTTCCTTGTAATGGATGTGCATGGATGGGAAGGTAGAATTAGAACTTCCTAGCATTCTCTGCTTTGCAAATTTAGTGCTCTACCTCTAAGGTATCGTTTCTTAATGGGAACAGTAAAAAAAAGGTCCAAATTCATCACTCAAACTTAAACCTACCTGGGCATTTGCATATAACATTAGCAGGGCATTTCTTTACTACCTTCCAGTCTTCACTTTCCATAGTGTTCTGAATGTGACTCTGTACCTTCAAATTAAATTTCTTCCTCATTACAGAAATGTGTTGTTCCTTTAGTTAATGTGTAATAAACAAAGCTCTGGTTGAAAGCTCTGCAGATTTGCAAAGGCTTGAGGAAGCTAGTTGACTTGAGCTTACTTTATGTTTCAGTATGTCATTCTCGAATGGGGAACAGTGTTAGGAGTAATCCTTTTTATTGGAGCTCTGGTTCCAACTTTGAAAATACAGCCTTTTAGTGACTTTGCTTTGCTTTCTATTAATGGTGTGGATTGCTGCTCTAATAATGTTAGTTACTGCTTTCTGGTTTTTTTCTCCCCTTTTCTTCTAGGTATGCCATACCTCCAGAACATGGCAAACGTCTGGAACGTCTGGCAAAAGGTAAGCTTCCTATGTCCATAGTTTTGGTTACCCTATGCTGACATTTCTAGAAATTGCAAGATGTTTTAGGTGTCACCTCTCTTTGAGACATAGGAATGAAGTTTAAAAGGGATACCTTGTGAATGGCTTGACTAGAGCCTTTTGAAAGTATATTAGGCAGCAGTGTAATAGTAAGCATAAATAGAACTTTTTAATGTTTTCCTCCTACATGCTTTTAAGAATTTTGTGGTTGGAATGCATTTCCAGCTTTAAATCATAGGTTCCTTTTTTTCATGAATGTATAGCTTATTTTCTAGTTATTGTTACTATTTGTTTATCAGCCAGTATCAGCATACTGGCTAAAATGCTGGACCTGAATTTGGCTTCAGTCACCTACCTAGCTATGTGACTCTGTCAAATCCACTTATTCTATCTCATCTGTAAAATGAGGAGAATAATAGCACATACCTCTGAGGGTTGTTCTGAAGATCAAATGAAATTATATTTGTAAAGCAGTTTGCAAATCTTCAAGTGCTATATAAAATGCTAGCTTCTACTAGTACCATCAATTCGAAACTCAATTTATCAGTTTTTATTCAGTTTACTATTATTTATCAGTTATTATTCAGATGTATATGTCTTGTCTCTCCAACTAGTTTGTAAGTCCTTGTATAAGGTAGTTGTTATATCTTTGTCTATTTTATTATTTATCTCTTTGCTTTGTGAACTCTGCACACAATGTTAGATCTATAGTGGTTGACTTTTTGGCATAGATTAGTGGGAGAAAAGGTAATCTTATTCTATCCCTTATAGGATAGCTGAGTTATTTACCTAAAATGCATAGGGGAGGGGGCAGCTATATGGCACAGTGGATAGAACACCGACCCTGGAGTCAGAAGGACTTGGGTTCAAATCCAGCCTCAGACACTTGACACTTACTGTGACCCTGGGCAAGTCACTTAACCCCCATTGCCTAGCCAAAAACCCCCCGAAAACCTACTTCAAACTTAAGCCAATAGTCCGCAGACTGAGAGCTTATGTAAGCCAGAAGTAGTAAAAGGTACATTCAAACAAAAATCTCTAACTCCTTCTGCTCCCATATCTTTTTATATAGCGTACCTATCCTTCTTCCGTTAGGGTGGAAGTTCTTAACTTCTAACATAGACCCGTTTCGGCAATCTGATGGAGCCTGTTGCTTGTCCTTTCTTTCTTTCTTTCTTTCTTTTTTTTTTTAAAGGCAATTTGGGGTTAAGTGACTTGCCCAGGGATACACAGCTAGTAAGTGTTAGGTGTCTGAGGCCGGATTTGAACTCATGTCCTCCTTACTTCAGGGTGGGTGCTCTATCCACTGCACCACCTAGCTGCCCTGTTTGTTCTTTGTTTCGAAGAGAACCAATGATATCCCGGATGACATCTTGACTTGTGTGAATTGGATTTAGGTGAGGCAGAGTTTCACAGAGTCATCAGCCTCACTCTTCCTAAGTCATTGATATCCAGTGGCAAGACAAAAGTCAAGATGACTGGCTATGGCCCAGGATGTAGTGGATGACCTTGGCATCTTAGATGTCTGACCAAGCTCTAAATGATCCACAGTGCCCTGCTTCAGCTGCCATCATGACCATTGGAACAAATTGTTGTCATCCACCCATTTCACTAGGGGAGGTCTTTACATGTTTGGGGTAGACATTCCCTAAGTCACCATGAGTTTGAGACGTGTTGATTACCCTCAGCCTGGTTTAGCTTATCTGTGAGGTGGTTTTACTGTGCAATGCTGCAGCTTCTTGGAGCCACAGGTGAGAGTTGGGTGGCAGGTGGACACTAAAGGTGAATGAGCAGCCTTGAAAAGGTTTTGGCAGTACCTGGCACCAGAGGTGCTAGTCCTCCCTGAACACCTCATAAACCTTCTTATGGCATCCTTCTCAGAAGAGTGTTTGGTTCCCACAGTCATAATTGAAGGAAATGCTAATTATCAGAAGTTAGTGAAAATAAAAATGGAATTTTTTCCTTATCCGAATTCCCAGACCTTTTGAAATATGTGCATGGATTTCTTGAGGGTGCTCTAGGTTAAGAATTCCTGCTTTAGAGCATGGATCTTATGAAAACTCCCAGCCCACAGTATTCTTCATTCTGATCTAGCTTCTGGTTCTACTATTTGCTTTAAAGGTCACAAATTTAACGAGCATACTCTCTCTGCCTTTATCCATGCCATTGATAAAAGTATTAAAGCTCACAAGGCCAAATACAGATCTTCTGGGCCTTCTAAAACACTGAAGATCTCCTGGAATATTGACACTGAAGCAGTAAAACTACTCTTTGAGTTCCTCTATCCAGACAGTTTTGAATCCATCTGATTATATTGTCATCTGATTCGCATCTCTTCGTCTCTTGACTGGAGTGGAAAGAGAATTGAGGCAGGGAAAGCTACCAGCAAGCTCATACCTGCTTCCAAACACAAGATGATGAGGCCCTATTGTGTGTGAGTAGAGAGAAAGGAACATTTATGAGAGATGTACAACGAATGGTAGAATTGACAGGACTTGCTATCTATTGGTTAAAGGGGTAAAAGCATGAGGATAACACCTAGATTGTCAACCCTGGGTGACTGGGAAGATGACTCTACCCCTCAGTAGTAATAGGAAAATTAGAGAGAAGTGAATTTTTGGGGGAAAGATATTATGAATACAGGATATCCAGTTTGAGATGTCCAAAAAGGTGGTTGGAGATGGGAGACTAGAGGTTATCAGTAGAAAAATAGACCTAAGAATCATCAGCATGGAGATAATAATTGAATCCGTGGAAGCTGGTGAAATTACCCAGCAAAACAGTGTGAAAGGAGAAGATGATCATGTTAGCAGGAGCAGCCTGGATGATAGTCCAGTAAAGGAGATGGAGGAGCAGCAGTCAGACAGGTAGGAGGATGTCCTATTAGCATGAAAGAAAGAAAGAGAAGTGAAATGTCAAAGGCGAGAGAAGGCCACTACTCTATTTCTTATCAGTACCAAATAGTTATGATGATTGCTGCTTTATGATATAGTTTTAGATCTGGTACGGCTAGGCCATCTTCTTTGCACTTTTTATTTTCATTAATTCCCTTGATATTCTTGACCTTTTGTTCTTCAGAATGAATTTTGTTATTATTTTTTCTCTTTCTATCTCTTGCTGCTGGGCTTTGTTGGTAAATATATAGAAATGCTGATGATTTATGTGGGTTTATTTTATATCCTGCAACTTTGCTAAAGTTGTTAATTGTATCAAGCATTTCTTTAGTTGATTCTCTAGGGTTCTCTAAATATACTGTCATATTATCTACAATGAGTGATAGTTTTGTTTCCTCATTGCCTATTCTAATTCCTTCAATTTCTTTTACTTTTATTGCTAAAGCTAGCATTTTTAATACAATATTGAATAATAGTGGTGATAATGGGCATCCTTGTTTCCCTCCTGATCTTACTGGGAAGGCTTCTAGCTTATCCTTATTGCATATAATGCTTGCTAATGGTTTTAGGTAGATACTACTTACCATTTTAAGGAAAACTCCATTTATTCCTGTACTCTACTGTTTTTAGTAGAAATGGGTGCTGTATTTTGTCAAAAGCTTTTCCTGCATCTGTTGAGATAACCATATGATTTCTGTTAGTTTTGTTATTGATATGGTCAATTATGCTGATAGTTTTCCTAACATTAAAGCAGCCCTGCATTCCTGGTGTAAATCTCACTTGGTCATAGTGTGTTATCCTTATGATAAATTGCTGCAATCTCTTTGCTAATATTTTATTTAAAATTTTGTATCAATATTCATTAAGGAATTTGGTCTATAATTTTCTTTCTCTGTTTTGGCTTTTTCTGGTTTAGGTATCAGCACCATATTTGTGTCATAAAAGGAATTTAGTAGGACTCCTTTGTCTATAAAACTGGGATTTATTGAGAAAGTTTTGTAGTTGGGGAAAAGATGATTTCAGCTGGTTGAACTGGTTGACTGACAAGACTTTTTAATATTCAGACCCTAGTATTCTGGATTTTTAAGAACATAGCTCAAGCTAGACAGTTTTTCCTTTCCTTTTCTTCTACCCCTTTTATTTGTTTGTTTTTAAAGCAGATATGGGTAAAGGAGTCATTTATAAGTCTCTTGACTGTCCCTGCTTCCAACCACTGCCTTTGCCAATCCATCTTTCACACTAAGTACCAGAGCAATTTTAATATATGTGCACTGCCCCTTTAAAAAACTGTCTCTTTTTATTCCCTGTAGGATAAAATGCATCTTCTTTAGCTTGACATTCAAGACTCTTTTGCAATCGGGCCAAAATTGTTGTAGTCTTACTTGAATGAATGAATGAAACATGCATTTAATAAGTGCTTACTCTGACCAGTGAACTGATCTAAACCCTGGGAATACAAATAGAGAAGTAGGCTAGTCTCTGCCCTCCAGGAGCACACATTCTAATGGGGGGAGACACAGCAATGGAAGCTCCACATTGGATTGTCAGGTCCCTGGGTTCTTAGGGTACAGTAAAGGAAGTGGGTGTACCTTTTCTTATTTTCACTAATAAAATCCTATCAAGACTTGGTAGTTGTGGCTGCAGCACCTAAAGAGACAATTAACCAATGTATAAGACATTGCTTCTAGGGATGATGGCTAGTATGGGCTGGGTCTCCTCTTTTTTGTTGTTTCAGTTGTGTTTGACTCTCCATGACCCCTTTTGGTGTTTTTTTGGCAAAGATACTGGAGTGGTTTGCCGTTTCCTTCTCCAGCTCATTTTACAGTTAAGGACGTGAGGCAAACAGGGTTAATTGACTTGCCCAGCATCAAACAGCTAGTAAGTGTCTGAGGCCAGATTTGAACTCACATCCTTCTGACTCCAGGCCCCATGCTCTATCCACTGTGCCACCTAGTTGCCCATAGTCTTCCCTTATTGATGAGTCATTTAACAGTATTGCTCTTTATTCTTTTCCAATAGCTTCCTCCCTCCATACATAGTATGCTATCTTCTTTGCCTAGAATGGATTCCTCCCCCTCCCCTTTTCTCCAATAGGCAGGGGTGGAAACATGTCCTTTATCCATCAAGGCTCAGCACAGTACCCTTTCATGAAGCGCTTTTTTCTTAGTTCTCCCCTGATTCTCACTCCCCTTATACCCTCTGCATTGAACTGTTTAATGCAGTACTTAGATGATTTGATTGTATTCTCTTTGGGGAGATTTGAGTGCCAAAGCAAGATGCTATAGATAGTGTTTCCAAAATGCAAAATGAATGAGGTAGTGAAAATTCCCAAGTTAATAGTGATTCCAGTAGTCTTCTGTTTGGGCTGGTTTTTCCAAGGCTTTGTTTTTAGGAAAATAAAAGTGAAATCATTCTGAGAAGCTAAAACAAAGCTGTCTTTGTATATGTATTTTGTAAACTTTTCTTGCCCTGCTTCATTGGACTATAAGAGATTCAATGAAATGAGCTTGCAATTAACATGGAAAATGAATAGCTAAGCTATAAATGGGCTCACTGGGAGAGTTGTGGAGCCCATGGAGAGAACATTAATATGTTACCATGTTATTGGTGCTAATCACTTAAAATGTGCTTCTTTATTAGTAGCTTTAATGAGAGCCACTTAAACTGTGCATTAAAAAGAGAAACTGCAGAGAAGGACGACGGACTGGGTGGCAGGCAGTCATAATTCTAATTGAAATGCTTTTAGTACAAAAAAAGTTGTTGGGATTCAATAATCCTTTGCCCTTTCTAAAACATCTGCATTATATCCTATCAATCAGCTTGATTTTCCAAGATTGAAAGTATTCTCCTTCTCACATATATACACACACCCACTTTTTCCTTTTCGTTAGCTAATTTGGATTGATTTAAAGCCTCCCCCAGTGTACATACATTGCTTTTGAGACCAGTGCTCTGCTCTTGCCTAGAAATGTCTCTTGGGCATTTGTGGGGGAGCTTTTCTAACCCTAAGCCCATGGCAGTGCTGTAAGTAGACATAATGTCAAGTAGAAACATAATGTTAAAAGAGGGTGGCTTGGATTCTCAATAAAGAAAACCAGGGCACATAGAAGAGCTTTCTCTCCTCTCCTCACACCCTCACGTCTCTCCCCAGTGATCCTAGAGTCTTTCTAAGAACTTTGATGTTTTAAACTGGGAGCAGAAATGGGATGGGGAGAGAGGAATCTTTCTGTTCCTTAAAGGAATAGTCTTGTGATCTTTTCTATTGGCAAGTTGTTTTGCTGGCAGAAGAGTAGCATAAGGGCAGAGACAGAAAGGAATAATGAGAAAGTTACAAGAACCTTGTGGTGAAATTATACTCTGCTCTACTTACTTACTGCCTTAAGGCAACTCCAGGGTAGTGGTTTAGAGAAGAGAAAGGTAGACTAGAGCAGACTGGGTAATTTGTATTTTTTCAGCATTCAAGTTTTGGAAAGTCCTTAGCTCTCAAATAGTATATCTCCCCACCCTCCCCACCTTTCCCCATCCCATGGAGCTTCTTCTCCACCAGGGACCATATAGAGTCAATATACTGTAGGTACCCAGTTGTATAATAAAGAATCCTCTTAGTGGGAACTAGGTGGCACTGTGGAGAAAGCACTGGGCCAGGAGTCAGAAAGTCCTAAGTTCAAATGTGGCCTTAGCAGTGGGACCCTATGCAAATCATTTTACTTGTGTTTGCCTCAGTTTCCTCATCTGCAAAATGAGGATAACAACAGCACCTGCCTTGGAAGGTTGTTGTGAAGAACAAATGAGTTTTGTGAAGTGCTTAGCCCAGTGCCAGCGCTATATAAATGTTTATTCCCTCCCCTCTCCTTAGTATGTATCCTTAGTATGTATTGGGGGGGGGGGTGCTATTGAACATGAATTTGACTGTGACTTCAAAAAGCTCTAAAATTCAAAAGAATTGTAGTACTGTTGCCCATAGCATCATTAGTACCCTGTTGATTCAAATATAGAAGACACCCTCCAAATTACTCCTCTTTAAGAGGGAAAAATGTATAGGTACACACTTAAAAATAACACAATTTGTAGGTCATACTCAGTCTCCATGTAAGTTCAGTTTGGAGGAAAAATACAATTTAGATTCAAACCAATGTGGTACACTGTAAACAAACCTCACCATAATATTGTGAACACCCGATTATTACTTTTTAATGATTTTGCAGAACCAGTGGCTAATGTACTTTTACACATGTGGAGGGGAAGACCTGTGTTTGACTATATTTTTCTCATGTCATACATAGTTATTCACATTTTTGAATAAGTTCAAATTTAGTAAACATTTATTTAAAGTCTCTATGCTCAAGATGCTATGCTTACTGCTGGTGAGAGCAAAGTAGATACAAAAAAGACCCTTTCAGCAATGAGCTTATAGTCTAATTTGAAGTTTTAGAAAACAGGTAAGTAAATATGATAGAAAAAGGAGATGTGTTAATTACAAGCAAAGTAGATTAGAAGAGAGAAAAATCTTGTTAAAGATGAAGTCCATGGTCAGAGTTGGGCCTCAACAATCGGAGATGGAAAGGCACTGTCCCAGAAAAGGGAGATTGTGTCAACATAGGAGAAGCAACATGATAACATTGTTATTGTAATAATTGTCAGTTTAAGGGTCAGCTCCTATGGCAAGAAACTAGGAGAAACCTGGGTTCAGATCCTGCCTCTGACACTTAGCAGGGCCAGATTACTTCTTTAAACCTGTTTCATCTTCTGTAAAATGGGGATAATAACGTTTGTTGCACCTACATAATAGCGTTGTTGGGAGGATCCTTCAAATTAGGGTATGTAAAGTGCTTGGAAAGCCTTTAGTCAAATCAACAAGCACTTCTTCAAAGTGCCATAAAAATATCCGCTAAATATTAGTAGACCAAAGAGGGTGAAAGAATAATGGCAGGAGGAAAGAGACAAAGCTGAAAAACAGTACATGAAGGGGAAGAAATGTAAAGTATAGCAAAGTGAATGTATATAGGCAGTGGCCAGTTGGTTTTTGCTTGTTGTCATATTATCTGTTATTGTAATTAATCATCTGATTTACTGGGGTGATAGACTACAGTATGCAATAGCAGCAACCTTTTATTGGCAACCTCCAGGCAGTTCTGGGAGACTCTTGGAAGAGGAGATTATAGATTTAAGGAAAAACAGCAGAATGCCAATAAAAGCTCCTCTCCTCTCCCTTCTTAGTATTATGGAACTCTAGAGAAGAAAAGTTGATTTTTTTTTCCCCCCAAGAACTAGTTTCAGGTAGTTGACTCTCTCTTCTAAAATGTAAATGAGAAGTCTTTTAAAAATCCCACCTTTCCTTTTCATCATCCCTATCCTAAAGAGAAGACTGAAAATGGGTTTATGTTCTTATTCAGGAGCTTCTCCCTACTTCTGTTTATTTATGACTTTTGAATAAGGGTTATGAATTAATCCTGTTTAGGGCAGCTGACTACACTGATGATGCCTTCTGCTTTTGCTTCCTCCACCAGGGTTTTTCCCTGGCAGTTCTCAGGGATGTGATGCCTTTCTCCGTCACAAGATGACTCTCATCTCTCCCTCCATTTTGAAGAAATACAGCATCCCATTTGATCGGGTATGTATATACAAAATTTAACCAAGAATGTATGGAATGGGGTTGGGATTTGGGAGATGCTTGCTTTCAGGTCATCGATTTCATTTAGAGAAACTTTTTTTCCCCTTTCTATAATGGAAGGTAGTTTGATTTTTTTCATTACTACTGTATAAACAGTTTGCTGTGGTAAGGCCAGTTCAGTGCTTAAAAATCATCTTCATTTTGTCTTTGTACCTGTAATACATACTGTCCTATCTTGAACTTCATATATAAACTTAACAAATGCTTATTGGATTGAATTGAATTGAAATTGTTAGCTCTTGTCTTCCTGTTGTAGATATGATCCCAGGATTTGGACTGTCACAATTTTATTTCATTAGTCAATGTGTTACTCACTGAGAGAGTGGGAATGTACTTCAAGTACAGCACAGCTTTATTAATCCTTATAGGGACTCGTAAGCCCCACCTGCAAGTGTTGTTTTTTGTCCTTCATTTTTGAAGAGGACCAGTGACATACGGGTGACATTATTGACTTGTTCATGAATTGGATTAGAGTTGCTCAAAGTCATCATCCCCACTCTCCACGAGTCATTGAAGTCCAGTGGCAGGACAAAAGGCAAGACAACTGGCGATGGCCCGAGATACAGTGTATGACCTTGGCATTTTTGTTGCCTGACCAAGCTCTAAGCATTCCACAGTGCACTGCTTAAGCCACCTCCATGGCCACTGGAATAAATTGTTCTTATCCAACTATTCATCTTCACTTGCTCAGGGTAGACATCCCCCTGACTCATCAACAGGTTTGAGGCCTGTCAGTTACCCTCAGTCTGGTTTAGCCTGTTTGCCAAGATGGGTTACTGGGGTGTGGCCATTGTGCATGGTGTAGCTTCTTGGAGCCACAGGTGAGAGCTGGGTGAATTAGCCGCCCTGACACCAGAGGTACCGGTCCTACACCCACAGGTGTGCACACTTGGCCTTTTATCTTTTTCCTCTGTCCAGTCCTTTTTGTCTCTGTTGATCCCCAGCAAGATCAATTCTCTTTATACGTTTGAGAGTCAGATTCTTTGGCAAAAGTCTTGAAGTAGTCACTGCATATATATTAATTCTCTAGATGTTATGTTTCAGGGTCTCCTTAGGCTCCTTTTTATAATTATTTGGCTCCCAGCTATTTCAGGTATACTGCTTATCTTATGCTTTTGTTATACTTCCAGTGAAAACCCCCTGTACTGCAGCTAGATGTGTCCTTTCCCATGTCTCGAGGGGTCTGGTGTCCTGGAATTAAGTTGGCTTTACTTAAAAGTTAAGCAAGAAATAGTTCTTAGTTCCAGAAAAGTGACTGAAGAGCAAATAGACAGGTGCTGAACCTGTGAATTCATTGGCATAAAGTATTCCCAAGTGAGGAAACTTCTAACAAATCAGGTCACTATCTTTTCAGCAACTTCCTGTCTTTACAGCCACCTCTCTATCCCACTATGCCATGTTGCCTCTCAGAATTCTGGCTTAGAGGGAAGACCTCAGAGACAGAAGACCTGGCCTCTGACACATAACCCCTCAGTGCTCTAGGCAGCTGTCTCAGAGTATAAGCTGCAGACCTGAGTTTCCTCACTTGGGAATTCTTGTTTGTTTTTTAAGGCAGTTGGGGTTAAGTGACTTGCCTAGGGTCACACAGCTAGTAAGTGTCAAGTATTTGAACTCGGCTCCTCCTGACTTCAGGGCCCGTGCTCTATCCACTGTGCCACCTCGCCACCTTGGGAATTCCTGATGCCAGTGGAAGTACAGGTCTTGTTTCTATGTCTCTGTCTTTCTTTCTCTTTACAGGGAAAAACATAAAGGTCATAACTTTTTAACCCAGTTCTCTTTAATCACGTCTCTGGAATCAGGAACCAGTTCTTGCCTACCTTGGAGATAAATTTACAAAGCCAACTTCATCCCTAGAGACCCCAGCATACATCATTATTACGTTCAAGTCCTGGCTTAGTGTGAGCTTAGCGTGCCTGAGCTCAAAGGTCCTCTCTGGGCATCTTACTGAGATCAGCACTGCATATTATTGGGAGACAAAGCCCAGCCCACAGGCTCCTTTAAAGGGATGAATCACCTGCTTAGAAATAAAATGTCTTGGCTTTCATAAAGCATGAAGACTATGAACTCATTGAGTTTACTGCTTCAACGATTGTTTCACCTTTTGTAGTGAAAAGGCTTTGATAGGAATGAAGTTTGAAGTGAAATCATCTGGTTTTGAGATGAACTTGCTATTGCTGCAGTGGGAACTTATGTGATACGAAACAGCTAGGGATCAGTGGCTTTGGTGTTTGCTAAGTATCAGTCTCCTTGTTGAATTCAGCACCTTAAAACCCCAAAAATATTTCACCTGAAGACTGAAGTTCATTGTTCTCATGGTTTGTGATTCATATTTGTCATCATACACAAGTTGGAGAGTATCCTTTTTTCTCATGCTTTCTCTCTTTCTCTTTGTTCTTCTTTGTTCTCTTTCTTTCTCTTCTTCCCCTTGTACCTTCCTTCCACAAAGGGAAACTACATGGTATTGTTGAGAGAGTATTGCCTTTGAAAATCAGGGTTTTTAGCCACTGTGCCTTTGAATGATCTTAGAAAAGTCATCTCTCCTCTCTGGGCTTTGGTCTCATCATTTCTAAAAAGAGAGGGTGGGACTTGATGACCTCGAATGGAGCCTTTCTGTCTCCAGATTCTGGGAGCAAAAGGAGCATAGGAAATACTGTAAGAAGTTGTGTTTTGAGAGTCTGAGAAATTCTTTTCTGCTTCCTTTTGGACTTTTCTCTTGTGTAAGAAACTTTGCAAGGAAGAGTGGACCTCTGCCATAACTAAAGTTTTATTTAGTAACAATACCCAAACAGCAATTCAAAGCTATGAGGCTTAGGTTTCAGTCTACATCAGACATCCTATTTCCCCTGAACAGGCCTGACAATACAGCTCTTCTGACACAGAGCTGTAGCCTAGAGGCCAGGCAGTCATAGAAAGTAGCTTCTCTTGAGGATGTTTTTGAAGGCTTCCTGGGAAGAACAGTTTGTCAGGTACAGTTGATAGTTCGCTGATTGTGCCCTTATTTCACCAGCAAATAGGAAATTTTTCTGACAATTCTGTCAAATAGCCTCTAACATTAGTGGGAGAGGAGGGGATTAGGTTGTTGTTGTTGTTGTTGTTGTTGTTGTTGTTGTTGTTGTTGTTGTTGTTGTTTTTCTGGGCCAGAATTCAGGAGACCAATCCTCTGCTATTGCTTGTATTTATCAGATAGTGGAGTATTCTGATTTATGAAATGCTGTTTTATCTGTCTTCATTTTTATTTTGAGCATCATTCACACCAAACACCTAATAAGGAAAATCACTCTTAAATGAGTAGTAGTGTGTTTTCCTTGTTGTTGTGTTGGAAAATAGTGTTTCTCCAATGGGGATTTTCACAGATAAAACAATAGCTTGGGTTATATTGAAAACTGACTCAAAAGGAAGAACCTTCCCTCCTACTCAACGTGGACAAGACCCTTTGTTCTAGAGAACCAGGTTATATTTTCTCTTCCATATATGATTTCCCTTTTTCCATAAGTAATATAAACTTTGTTTTTAGAACATGTAAGTATTTATGAAGTGATTTTTCTCCTGCCACATCATGGCATTACTCTCAATTTTACAAGGAGCATGGGTAGGTTAACTAAATTCTCTTTCACAGTTAAGGCTCCTCTAAGAACTTCTCATTCTCTTAACTGTAAGTAAGATCCTGAAAGAATCCTTTTCTTGGCATCTAAAGTATTTGGTATTTGAGTAAAAAACAGTCATACCAGGTTGGTTTGCCTGGTATTAGTGGTGGATAAGAGTTTTTACTTGTGTTCTTCTGACTGCTTGAATCCTAGCCTGAAACAGGTACAGTTGAAATCCAAGCAGCATTTTTACTCAAAAAGAGAAGCGATCCTTTAACAGTATGGTTAGATTCTATCATTGAAATTCCTGGCAGCCTTCAAACAAGTGAATATGTGCACTATTTATAAATCTTTCAAATGGTATTTACTTCTTGGGGGAAAAAAGATCAATATCAGCTTTTAATAATTAAAAAATGCTTATTTCTGTAATCTACTATTGATTTCTTCATTTATTCTTCAAGAGCTTGTAGAAGTTACTAAATTCTGTTTTCCTCATGAATTTTAGTCCAGCATCCTTTCACTAGTTATTACTTTTCTGCATGGCCTATCCATCATCCTGAGGACTTTCTAATTTATAGTTGGAATAATGTTGACAGCAGTGGCATACAAGACTTACAATGTGGGCTTGAAATGAAGACACTGGGATATAAATTTTTTGACAGAAACATAATCTTGTTAATAAACTCAACAGTCTTCAGTTATGACCTGATTTGTGAAGGGGTTGAATATTATATGCCTAGTGGGTTAGACTGTCATGCAGTATCCAGCCTAGTTCTGGGTACATACCTCACACAAATTGGCTCCCCTCCCCTCATAAGACAAAAAAGGCTTCTGTTTAAGAGGAGAAGAGTTTTGCTGTACAACGGTGTGCAAATTTACTGTGACAAAGTAAAATAATTTGATTTATACAATTAAGCTTACAACTTCTTAAGTCTTCAAAAAATTGTCAGATGTTCTTTTGTTGTAATCACTTGCTTTATACAGTTTGAGTTTTAGCTTACAATATTTGACAAATATTCTTCAATTCATCATGAAACCACATATCAAATCATTCCTCTGGTGAGTAGTCACTCCCCCCCCCCTCGCCTTGATTATATCCCTTGGTTTTTCAATGGTATTGAAATACATTGTTTTCCTAGGCAATAGAGGCATATTTATCTTCATCCCGTGAAAGAATTTCATTACTTTTCATGACCTGTGATATGATGTAAGGCTGTAATGCAGTATTCCATCTCTGGGGATTTCAGTAATTCAGGAACAAATCTACTTCAGTAAATCAGTATATTTGTCCAAGTTTATCATTGCCTCAGTGAATACAAGACTTCTGGGCTCAGTGGAACTAAAAAGTCCCCCAAA